TGCTTATTTTCTGAAGATTAACATCTGAAATCTGTTTATAAAATATGACACCTTCCCAACCACTCATTGTTCCTTACATTAAATGACAGTATGTTATAATACAAATGCACAAGCACAGATACTTGCATGTGTCTTTACAATGTGATGAAAGGCGTATGAAATATGTTATCATTTAACAAATTTGGATTGTTTTTAGAAGAGAGAAATATGGATGCGGGTTAGTGCCATAAAAGGACTTTTTTTGATGGACGGGAAAAAATTGTGTAAGAGCTGCTCCTTTTCTGAGGTACTTTCAGCGTTGGAGCTGATTTCCTCAAATTCTAGGAGCAGTAATTACAGTTTTATTAGCTGTTGCATTGTTTTGGAACTTTGGGAAAAAAGATCAAAACAATGGCACTTTAAAAACGGAGGAAGAGAGACAAAGGCAGTGACCACATGGTGGGAAGTGAATCAATGGAGAAAGAAACCTACACTGCTGTCTGACCCAGCAGTGAACTTTCACAGCTACTGCCTCTGCTGTTTGATTTCAAGTACTTCTGGACACTGGAGTTCATCTAAGAAAAATAAACAAACAGCAAAATTCACAGCTGATCTTGGAGAAACCTGTGTGGGGAGATCACAGCTGGGAAGCAGCTAAGTGACTAGTTTTCTTTGTTATTTCTAGAGTGGGTTCTTTACAATTATATGTTCTTATTGAGCTCTGTGTCTTGATTAAAGATTAAAAATATAAAACATAGATAATAAGTTAGCCTGCAGCAATGTTTTTAGAGCAGTAAGACTGTGCAATTTTTTGGGTCTTTAGACTGTTAAAGTGCAAAGATGTCCTTTTGTAGAATGATATGCTCTTCCTGTCTGATGCGGCAGATTAGGGAGAGTTTCCATGTTATTCATGATTATGTCTGCAGGAGGTGTGCTTGGTTGTGAATCGTACCCGATCGAATGGAGTGGCAGTTAGGAACTTAAGTGAGGAGCTAGGGGATGTGATGGATGGCAGTTGCAGGAAGGGAGATAAAATGAAGATACAGTCTGGTAGATGGGTGACCTCCAGGAAAGGGAAGCAGGTAGTACAGGAGTCTTCTGTGGCTATCCCCATTTCAAACAACTATGCTGCTTTGGAAAATGTAGGGGTGATAAACTCTCAGACGACTGTAGCACTGACAGGGATGGAAGTGAAACTATTCACTGCAACAGCAATATGTTTCCAGTTTGTAAAGTTTTCCAAACCAGGCGTGTTGGCATGTCATTAGAATTTAACAAGTTTAGGCCATCAGATTTGAAGAGGGATCATAAAATAGTCCCTATGTTTCAAGAAAGCGAAACTGGAAAGCACCAGTTAATTGGAGCTTATCAAGTTGAGATAGGATTAATATTTCCTCTGGACTGGAGTTCCAATAGAGGAGTGTTGGAAAACAGGGTTAAACTTAAAATAATCAGAACAAATATTAAGCTGACATACAGCTGGTTTTGTTTCTTTTGTGTAATAAACATGTTCTATTGTGAAAAAACATATGTGGCCTCAGGTGTTAGAGAGATAGTAGGAACTGCTGATGCTGGAGAATCTGAGATAACAAGGTGTAGAGCTGGATGAACACAGCAAGCCAAGCCCCACCCCCATCTCCTACCTATTAGACTCATCCCACCTCCTTGACCTGTCCGTCCTCTCTGGACCGACCTATCCCCTCCCTAACTCCCCACCTACACTCACCTTTACTGGCTCCAACCCCGCCTCCTTGACCAGTCTGTCTGCTCTCCACCTATCTTCTCCTTTATCCATCTTCTATCTGCCTTCCCCTCTCTCCCTATTTATTTCAGAAACCCCTTCCCCCTCTCCCATTTCTGAAGAAGGCTCTAGACCCGAAACGTCATCTTTCCTGCTCCTCTGATGCTGCTTGGCCTGCTGTGTTCATCCAGCTCTACACGTTGTTATCTCATGTGACTACGTTTCAGTGAGAACCACTGTTAAGAACAAACAAGAAATTAAACATATGATCTACCAAGTCAGATTTCATTCTGAATTGTCCAGTATCAGCATCAGATCATAAGAAACAAATGTGAACATGATTCTGTCAGAAAGGTTCAACATGAAGAAACCAGAAAAGTGCCTGGTTCAATTTCAATTTACTACTTAGGATACATTTGTCAAACCATTGAGAACTACATAAAAAGCTTTTGAAAACCTTAAGAGATTTCAGTTTAAAAATAATAAAAAAGGTCAGGCATTCAACACCTGAAGCTTTATTTTAAACATGGACTCCAATTTGAAGTAACGACTGCAGTATAAATCAAATACAAGGCATCCAATAGGTTAGGCCTATCACACACAGCACTAAACTGACTCTCTTGCAGGCTGAAGATGCTGAAACCATTGTATTTCATACAAGACTTCTAATCACAGGCTTCACCTTTCAGTTAAAGTGACCTGAGCTTTGGATTAAATCGCAGTCACTGTAATCCTAACCAGTGCAAAACAATTCCTTCTCCATTAATGTTAAAATGCATTTCATGTAACCAAGTAAATTAGAATGAACTAAACAAAACATATTATTTGTAAGGTGACAAACAACAGCACATACAGACCATAACAACAATAACTTATACAGCACTGAATATAAAAAAAACTATAAATAATACTGTTTTTCAGGAACATTATCAAATATGTTTTGGGCAGACAGACAATCAGAAGCTTAGTTTTAAGAAGCATTTTATGGACGAAAGAGAAGGGGAAAAAAAAACAGAGCTGTAGGGTCTGCATGGAGGCAAGAGAAGTCACTGCAGTTGATCCTCTGTCTAGCTCTGCTAAATAAAACTATTTAAACAGGCAACAGGAGTTCCACCTATCTGGATGACAGTGGATAGGTATCAGAAGAGGCTCAGCCATGATAAAGGCTGCAGACAAGTCATGAAGATGAGAAGGGAACATTTACTTCCATCACAGTTACACAGGAACACAAAGTGAAATTGCTGGAAAACTCAGATGTGCAACATCTATGGAGAGAAAGCATAGTTAACATTTCAGATTCAGTGATCCTTCTTCAGAACTGAAGACCTGTTGAGTTTTTCCAGCAATTTCTGATTTCCAGTATCCAAAGATTTTTTTTTAGAAACAGTAACACAGGATGCTGTTTGTGACTTTAATGAGAGATATTTTGGTGTTGTGCCAGTAGAAGAAACCAATCTGGAGGGATTCCAATATGGAGTCCTGTGAAAAATAGGTACTGATTTGGGAGGCTACAACACATTCAACAGCTCTAAAGAGAAGGGGATGCTGGAGATGGAGCTTGAAAGAAAAGAGGGGTCAAAGGTTGGTTTTTTAACGAAAGGGTGATAATGGCAGATTTGAAAGATGGACACAGTGACTGGAAACAGCAAACCATTAGCAATATCAGAAAACTTACTTTCTTGTTTCTCAGTTTGAGTGCTCAGCAATCAAGTTGGATTAGGGTTGAGGGAGCAAAAAGTGGGTTTTCCAACCAAGATTAGCTTGGAATATGGAGGGAATATAGATAAACAAAAATAAAAACATGTATTCAGAGTTAGGACAGAGGGAAACCTGAGAGCAAGCAAGACTCGGAGAAAAGAAAAAGAAGATGGAAGTAGTAAAGACAGCTAAATCGGATACTGTCAATCGTAGTAACAAACAAGTCCATGAGTACCTCAAAACTGATGTTGGAGTTGAGGATGGAAGAGAAAGTGGAGAAGGATCTTCTGAAGATACTGTACAGTAGGAAAAAAGCTAGGAGCTATACTGACAATCCAGTTTGATCATAGAATGATGCAGACTTTTAACAGGATGCCATGGGGGTTAAATACTAGATCAGCGTGGTCTTAAAATCATTCCTAGATCAATTTTTTGTGGAATTTTATGTAATGTTATTCCTTGTAGCAACATGCATTACAGAAAATGCATTATTACATACTCAGGGTTTGAGTGAAGATTTGTAGCTCGATTGCTGGTTGTAGATGTTGGTGTGTTCGCCAAGTTGGGAGGTTTGAATAGTCGTTTTGTCCCCTTACTAGGTGACATCCTCAGTGCTGTGGGGCCTCCTGCAAAACGCTGCTGTCTTGTGCCGGTTCAAATTTATATGGTCTGGTTTTTGCTGCTTCCAGTTGGTGCTGGTTCCGGCTGTGCATTGTAATGGTCAGTACATCAGGTCTAATTCAATGTGTTTGTTGATGGCATCCCTGGATGAATGCCAAGCCTTCAAGAATTCCCTGGCTGTCCTGTTTGGCTTGTCCAACGATAGTAGTGTTGTCCCAGTTGAAAGTGTGGTTTTTCTCGTCTGTGTGTATTGAAACCAAGGACATCTGGTCGTGTTGTTTAGTTGCTAGCTGGTGTTCGTGGATGCGGGTTGCTAGTTGTCTACCCATTTGTCCCACCGAGTGGTTTGTGCAGTCTCTGCATGGTATCTTGGATATTACATGCTATTTAAATTCAAGCTATGTGTTCTCAGATAACCAGGATTGAGTCAAGCCCCATAAATCTTCCAAATGCCAATACAGAATTTTAAACCCCTTAGCAATGATAAAGGAAACATTTAACCCCATTATTTTCAAAGCTAATTAGATCCTACCAAGAGAAAACAAAACAACGACAAATATATTAGGTCGGCAGAAATATCATCTCCGTCAGCATATCTGCATCATGAAATAACTGAACTGAATGGGAACTATAATAAAGCTACAAACCATGTGCAACACCCATGGCTTGGCCCTTATCAAACCGACAGCATCTGCCACTATCCTAAGTGGAACAAGTCTGGTGCTAGCTGTTTTAATGGAAATTTAACCGAAACAAAAAAAAAAAAATCATTCTGTTTGAGCGTCTCGGTTGACGGGGTATTAAATTAGTCTCAATTCCAGCCTCACACCTTCACCTCCTGACAAAATGGATCCACTACCTGACAGAACACAGTAAATGGAAACGTTCTCGTCCATTGTTCCGGCCACCTCGTCACAAACACCAGATTCCTTGATATGAATCTGAAATTCCAAACACTCACCTCCCCAAATCCTCGCCGATTTCATAGTAATCGTCCACATTTTCCTGCTTGAACACGGTCATGGTAACTGGTTACTGCATCCCGGCGCAGAATCAGCCCGATAAAAGGTAACCAATTTCAGCATCCAAACGGGTGACCCTCCCAGATTCCTGGCCACACAAAGTGCATTCCAGCCTGTCCGGAAAAAAAGTTTAAAAAAAAATTACCCTTTTTGCACCAAAAAAACATTCGATTGCTATTTGGGTTAATAAATGGGCGTTCCTGAAAATTTTTCTTTAAAATCTGGTTGTTACATTACGTTGAGTTGCAGTACACACCGAATAAAGCAATCAGCAGCATTCCGCGTGATGCACAATTAAAGAATTATTTCCATATATCTTCAAAAATGAGCAAAAAAAAATCATGTCTATCGTAACCGAGCACAAAGTCAGCGCCACTCAATCTTTGTAAGGGGCTGGTTGGTGATTGCTCTCCAATACAGGCAGAGTAACGCCAGAGCTGGAGAATCAACAGCATATGACCACCAACAACCATACATAGATTATTTCTTTAAAAAAAACGAGCGTGGATCATTCTCCCAAAACAAGCCTTTCTTTTTATTCCGTTTTACAACTATATCTGAATTCAAACAAAAATGATCTACATTTATATGTATTTAACAAAAAAAATTCACGCTTGGTAAACTAAAGCCTACAATGCGAGAAAGAACTCGCTGTCAAATGTTAAGATCTTCCAGTTACTTGAGGAAGGCTGTGGAGATTGGTGACCTCTCGGAGCGGGGTTCTGTGCCTCAGAAAAGCACAGTGTGCTCGAGCCTCGGCCTTGCGCCCAAAAATCAACCCGGACCGCAATCCGAGCACCTTAACGAAAGTACAGCCCGCACTCCACAGCGGGAGCAACCGACCACCCCACCGGGTGGAGGGTTAAAACACGGCATTCCCCACCCCCCAGGCCGGAGGGCGGTGTTTAAAATAAAAGATGGAAGTTTACAGCTGTTATTCCCCCCCCCCCCCGGAACTGGCGCCGTCAGCTCCCAGGGAACAGCTTCCAGCTTTCCGTCACCAAGTACAGCTGCCCTGGTTACCGGAGCGGCCCAGCCAATAACAACAGGCTGCAACACTCACTGACTCCCTCACTACTGAGACACTCACAGATCACCACTCTCTCGTAATCTCCAGCTTTCGCAGGCTTTATATTGATTCTAAACGCCGAACAACACGACGTCTCTGCTTCTACTCACAATTCCTTCTGCAAACTAAGTCAGCAACCCTTGAACACCGGACAAGGTGTAAGCGGCGCCCAGCAAAGACCTCACTGCTTCCCTCTCACTGTGGCGTTTGCACATTTCCTCTTTCGACGTACGCTTCGTTCTCTCAGGAACGCTTTCTTTTTCTGAGTTCTACCGTTTGCTTCTCGCACTATTCCACAGTATTTTGCTGTTCGTCTCCTCCAAACATGAACTCCACCGACAAATCCACCACCACTGGTAAAAATGGGAACAATCTACGGAATTTTCAGAATATAGCTGATTGACAGATTGCTGATTATTTCAGTGACATAATAGCAGAAATTACTGTCAGCGATGTTATGTACAAATGCTTGTACTCCTAGATTCCCCTTTGCGACATTTAAAGGGGAAATAAGTGGAGTCACATTTCCGGCATTATATCTTTTGCCTTTAGTTTGAACGCAATATCGTTAGGTTTATAATATTTATGGCAAAGGAGAAGGAAGAAACAAATGTGAAAAGACTCAACTGGTGGAGGGACCTGAATAGCGACGTGGCCCAGTGTACTGAAATCAAAGATTAATGGGGGAGGAATTCAAAAAGGAACCGATTCAGGTACAAACTAGACACATTCCCACAAGGTGATAGCTGAGGTATTCATAACTGGAAACACACATATGCCTTAAGATATAGGCCCATATCACACACCGTTACTTTACACAAACTTTTCAAGACCCCGGTACTGTTCTGCTTTTCTTGCCAGGTCTTTTGAGTCCAACTTTAAATCATAGAATCCTTACAGTGCAGAAAGAGCCCATCAAGTCTGCACTGATCCACCAAAGTGCACCCCATCCCCATAACTCCATATGGCTAACTCACACATCCCTGTACACCCTGGGCAATTTTTATCAATGGCCAATGCACATAACTTGCACATCATTGGACTATGGGAGAAAACCAGAGCATCCAGAGAAAACCCACACATATGGCGAGAATTTGCCTCCTTACAGAGGATCCAAAGCTGGAATCCAACCCAAGTCCCTGTTGCTATGAGGCAGCAGTGGTAACTACTGTGCCACTGTGCTGTCCCAAAACTTCTTCAGAAATGCAGAATGTAGCATCCATTGAAGAGATCCATCACAATGGTCTGGCACTGGGCTAAGACTGAACCTGGCCACTTTTACAACACTAGCTGCCATAAGTAAGTTTAAATGTCCAGTGTGAATATTAATAAATGCTGAATGAGTGAATGGGGAGGGTGGTAGGTTGTGTAGATGAGTGAGAATAAGGCGATGTATGGATGACATAGTTCGTAAATGAGGTGAATGATGGGATGGATGAGTGGGTAGGTAGACCAGAGAGTAGTTGGACTGGGATGAGTAATCTGGTAGTTAAGTGTAGTCAGGTCTGGTCATTGGCTTGGTCAGGGAAATAGTTGAGGGGTCAGGAAGGTAGTCAGGGAATCAAGGGCATTGTTGGGGCTTGGGGAGAGTTGGGGCTTCAGTGTCAGTGATTTTGTGGATAGTTTTTTCGTTATTCTGGAGTTGGAGTAGGTTTTAATCTGTCTAACATTTCCTGGATAACTATGAACAGCGAATTGGACAGAGGGTGCCAGAGAACAGGGGAATTAGCTTTCAGAAAGAAGGTCAACTTTCCCAGACAACTCCTATAAAGTTCAGTGTTGTAGAACTTCAGTGAGGTCCTGATGGCCATGTGGGTTGTAGGTCTGCTGTCCAACACTCTGAAAACGTGAAGATCCAGGAAGTAGAAATTAAACCAAAACAGAAAACAAAAGCTTTATAATCAAGCAAGGTGTAGAATTCAAGCACATTTATTTATAATCTTCCACTCCTTTTGTGATGTCCTTGGGCTAACATGGTTGATCTCCAAGAAACATAACCCTCTTTCTATGTGCTAGGTATGACTCCAACCAATGGACCTTTTTTTAAAATAATAATCATCTTGCAAAGTATCACATTTGAAATAATGTTTTTAAAATAATCTTAGATTCCTTTTTATGCCACTTACTAACTTACACTCTGACACTCTCCTTGCCTCACATTTCTTTTCCCAGTTCTTTTCCACAATTTTTTGTTTTCAGCTTCCAGCTGTCAGTATACCTGGACTTAACCATCTCCAGCTGTTTCAATTACTGTTCCCTTATCATAAAGTCAGAAGTGGAGATATTCACTGATGATTACGCAGCGTTCAGCACCATTTGTGACTCCACAGATACTGAAGCATTCAATATCCAGGTGCATGTAGAAAGACCTGAACAATATCAGGCTTGGGACTGATAAATGGCAAGTAACATTCGTGCCACGCAAGTGCCATGAAATGACCATCTCAAACAAGACAGAATCTAACCATTGTCCCTTGATATTTAGTGGCATTGTCATGTCTGAATCCCCCATTAATAACATCATGAGGGTTAGCATTGACCGGAAACTCAACTGGACTAGCCATATAAAAACTGTGATGACAAGACCAGGTCAAAGACTAAGAATTCTGCAGTCAGTAACTCGCTTTCTGTCTCCCCATTGCCTATGCACCATCTACAAGGCGCAGGTCAGGAATCAGATGGAATGTTGCTTTGATGAATGCAGCTCCAACAAAATTAAGAAGCTTCACATCATCCAGGACAAAACAGCCCACATGATTGGTACCCCCTCCACCATCTACCAGATGAAAAGATGTAGGAACAGAAATAAACTATTCAGCTCCTCGAGCCTGCTCCACCATTCAATGAGTTTATGGCTGATCTGATATTCCTCAACCTCATTTTCCTGCCTTATTCTCATAAACCTTAACGTCGTCACTGATTAAAAATCTGTCTGTCTCATATTTGAATATACCTAACAACCTAGCTTCATCAAGCCTCTGTGATAAGTAATTTCACAGGTTGATTACTCTCTGAAAGAAAAGAAATCTTCATTTCTGTGCTAACTGAGTGACACCTTACTCTGAGATTATGCCCTTTGACCCAAGATTCTTCTGCAAGAAGAAACAACCTCTCTGCATCTGCTCTTTAAAGTCCCGTAAGGAATTTATTTATTTCCTAAAGGACTCCTCTCATGCTTCTAAATTCCAATGAATACAAGTTGAGCTTACTTAACCTCTCCTAATAAGAAAATCCGTCCACACCCGGGATCAACCGATTGAACGTTCTCTGGACTGCCTCCAATGGTAGTATAATTTTCCTTAGATAGGAGGACAAAAACTGTTCACAGTTTCCTGATTGTGGTCAGACTAGTGCCTTTTATAGTTTTAGTAAGAGCTCCCTACTTTTGTACTCCAGTCCCTTCAAAATAAAGGCCATTAATCCATTTGCCTTCCATTTCACCCACTAAATTTGTATGCTAGCATTTTGTGATTCATTCACATAGACTCTCAAATCCCTCTGTACTGCAACTTTCAGCTATATTTCCTCAATTAAAGAATATTCAGTCATTCTATACTTTCTGTGAAAATGCATAATCTCACATTTTGTCAAGTTCTTGCTCACTTACTTAGTCTGTATTCCCTCTCTAAGTTTAGTGTGGCATCCTCACTATGTGCCTTCCCACCTATGTTTGTGTCATAACAATTTGCCCTTCATCACTGACACACCCATCCTCAATAATGGGGAGAATCCAGCATATCAGTGCAAAAGATAAGGCTGAAGTTTTTGCACTCATCTTCAGCCAGAAGTGCTGAATGGATCAACCATTTTGGCCTCCTCCTGAAGTTCCTAGCATCACAAATGCCAGTCTTCAACCAATTCAATTTACTATACTTGATATCAAAAGATTGCAGAGACATTGATACTGCAAAGGCTGTGGGCCCTGACAGAATTCCAGCAGTTGTACTGAAGTCCTGTGGTGCAGAATTAACTACACCCTTTGTCAAGCTGTTCTAATCCAGCTACAACACTGCCATCTACCAAACAATGTGGAAAATTGCCCAATTATTTCCTGTGTAGGTCAAATCCCAATAGGCCAATTGCACTCTATCAGTTCTACTCTTGATCATCAACAATGTGATGGAAGGGGTCAATTACAGTGCTATCATGTGAAACTTGAGAAAGACTAACCTTCTCACTGATGCTAATTCAGATTCCACCAGGACCACTCAGCCCTTAGTCTCTTTACAGCCTTGGCTCAAGCATGGACAAAAGAGCAGATCTCCAGAGGTGAGGGGAGAGTGTTAGCCCTTGATATCAAGGCAGCATTTGACTACATATGGAGTCATGGAACCCTAGCAAGTTAATGGGCATATGAGGGGAGCCCTCTGTTTGTTGGATGTATATGTAACAGAAAGAAAAATGGTGGTTGGAGGTCGAAGATTTAAGATCCAGAACATCATTGCAGGAGTTCCTAAGGGTAGTGTCATAGGCCCAACAATCTTTACTAATTCATCAATTACCTCAACAGTATCACAAAGTAAGAAGTGGGAATGTTCACTGATTATTGCACATGTTCAGTACCATGCTCAGTCCCCTACTATGAATATGCTGGGATTTCTCAATGACCAGAAACAGAACTGGAACAGTCATATAGGTTCTGTGGCTATAACAGCAGGTCAAAAGCCAGGAATTCTGCAACAGGTAATTCATTGTCTGTCTCCCCAAAGTCTGTCCACCACCAGCAAGTCACAAGTCAGTTGTGTGATGGAATACTCTCTACTTGCCTGGGTAAGCGCAACTCCAACAAAACTCAACATCATTCAGGAAAAAGCAACCCACTTAATTAGCACCCCATCCATATTAAACATTCACAACTGATACACAATGGCAGAAATGTGTGCCATCATCAAGATGCACTGGAGTAAGTTATCATGGATCCTTGGACAGTACTTTTCAAACTCATAACATCTACCACTTAGAAAGACAATGATAGCAGATGAATGGTAGCACCAGCATCTGCAATCTTCCTTCTAAGCCATACACTATCCAGGCTAAGAACAACATCACCATTCCTTCACAATCGCTGGGCCAAAATCTTGGAACTCCCTAACAACATTGCAGCTGTCTGTACACTCTAAACATCTCAGAGGTTTAAGAAGACACTACCTTTTCAAGTAAAATTAAGGATAGACAACAAATGCTCATCTAGCCAGTGACAACCACATCCCATGCGTGAGTAATAAAAATAAAATTAGGAATTTGTAAGGAGATTTCCTTTGGAGATAGATGGTGTGGCTGAGGACTTGGTGAGTATTTTGAATCTGTTTTCAACAAAGGGGAGGATGCTGTCAGTGTCACAGTAATGGAAAAGTTAGTGGAGAAATTGAATTGGATAACAATAAAAAGAAAGTATTCAAAAGATTGGCAACACTCAAGGTAGAAAACTCTTCTGGTAAAGATTGGGTGTCTCATT